TACTTGCTTTTTAAAAAAATTATTATTATTCATTAGATGCCTATCTATGTATATAAATCTTCTTTATACTTTTAGGTTGTTCTGTAGCGTTGGGCAGGGGGAAGTTTCCCTCTCCCCTTCTTGGTTCTTCTAGCTGGACTAATAATAAAAGTCACATAAGACCAGATGAACAGAAAAATAAACGAACAAGCACAATTTAATGCATGCCCACAGGAGATCATAAATTAGGCTCGGAGAAATGAACAAGTTGGCTTGTTATTCTTTTTAAACAAAGAAACAATACATTTGTGAAGCCGTGATAGGACAAAAACACTTAGGTTTGGCTGCTCATTAGTGAGGAATCTCAACACCATTTGGGCCTGAGAAGGAAGTTAGTGAAGGAGTCACAAGGTTTGTTTGTGTAAGCTTTTTGGCCCTGATTCCTTCATGCTAGCAATAAGGGTGTCTTTTTTTTTTTTTAATCATTTTTATTAAATCTTCATTGTTGAAAGTATGTCCCTTTCCCCACATTGACCCCTTCTAGCCCGCCCCCACCGCACACTCCAAGCCTTCACCACAGGGTGTCTTTCTCAGCCCCCTGGAGCAGGGAGGGCGCCTTCCCCAGAAGAGATGTATTTCCTGCATCAGGAGACAAGGGAGGGCCGGCCTGCCCTCTGGCACTGGCTGCTTGTCAAGAAACTTTAGATCAAAGTCACCCATATCCCACTGGGAGATCATTTGGGGCAGCCTGCTCCGGGCTCCCACAGTAGAATTCCATACTCTAGGGAAACCACAGCTTTTTAATTATCCAACTGACGATGGCCACATCGATTCCACTCTCCCCTGGTACGGTGGCCCAGAGAGGCCCCCACAGGCTCTGCAATGGAGGGAGGTTTCTGTGGAAGGCACGGAGGACTGGAATGCCCAGGCATCGAGGTGTGCATGTTTGCGGCTCAAATAGATTCTGCCAGTTGTCCTCTGAGCTAGATAGTTCTCTTTGTATTCCCACCAGCAATATAGGAGAGGACCCATTAGCCCATACTCTCTTTAAAATAATTTTTTTATTGATTTTTTTACAGAGAGGAAAGGAGGGAGATAGAGAGTTAGAACCATCGATGAGAGAGAAACATCGATCAGCTGCCTCCTGCACACCTCCCCACTGGGGATGTGCCCGTGACCAAGGTACATGCCCTTGACCGGAATCGAACCTGGGACCTTTAAGTCCGCAGGCCGACGCTCTATCCACTGAGCCAAACTGGTGAGGGCAGCCCATATACCCTTTCACTGTAATATTAGCAGACTTTTTAACTTTTACCATTCTGGTGGGTAAGAAACGATAGCTTGTTATTGAAAGTTTGCATGTCTCTATTTTTCTGGCATTCTTACATAACCTGTCAAGTACCCAATTAAACAACAGAAGCAGAGGGGGTTGGGATAAGTGTTTTCTATCCTCTCATGGCACACAGCGCTAGGCACCGGGTAGGCTCTGATAGTTAGAGGCTAGAGGATGTATTGATTAGCTTGGGCAATTTTTAAATTTCAAAAAATAAGACAGCAGCGGTGGAAACTTGGAGAAAGGAAGGTGCTGCCGATCTGATCCAAGGGGGACAGGGAAGGGGAGCCCTCAGAGAACACGGAGAGATTCTAAGGGCATCTGCAGGGAACAGGAAGGTGAGACGTTGGCTTTTCCTTTTGGCTGCTTCCCAGTGTATCAGCGTGTTTCCTGCCTCCTGGGTGTCTCTTTGGGGAGAAGAGACTTCAGGCCTGCTTTCCCCAAGGACAGACAGGACTCTGCGTGCTCCTCTGGCTGTCCTTTCTGCTCCAGCTGTTGCTCTCGGCAGGCGTCTTTCTTGCACGTGCTGGGTACGAGGGGGTGCTGTTTCCACCACCAGCCCCCACGGCCAAGTGCAGATAGGGCAGGCTGGGGTTTCGTTGCAGGGACGGTAGCCCTCCTGGTCAGGCCCCATGGCCTTTGAAATAAGTTTATTATTAGTATTGTGAGTCCAGCTAGAAGAACAAGTCCAGGGACAAGGCCAACAAGTAGAAGGGGTCCCAAGGCAGAGTTCGGGACAAGTCAATACCCTAGTCTTGTTTGCAGAGCAACCTGTGACAATACTTTCAACAATGAAGATTTAATAAAAATGAAAATAATAATAATAATAATAATAAACTTTGACAGGTGAGTGCTGCAGTTGTCTTTTCAAACCGTATAAGTTCATTTAGTCAGTTTTTGTCCCCAACGATGGCCCAGGCCACACTGAGAAGCTCTGTTCCAGACTCTTCTGTGGGTTCCGGGCCCTGGAATCACCAGCCCAAATCACAGCACACCTATTTCAGGTTCTTCATGGGCCTCGTCTACTGATTCATCCTCTAGGTTTGCACACCCCTGGGCCAAGGGCCAGCTGTTAGAGGGAGAAGCAAAGGTGAAGATTGAATATGTGTGCAGGGCTGTCCATACGCAGGCATCTGAGGCCCTGTCGGTGCCAGATGGAGGGGAGATGGGAAGAAAAGGGGTTCAGACTGCTGGCTGGTGGAGGGAGGGGGTGCAATGATTTGGGGTAAGCCCAGCTGAAGGAACCCATTTCTCTGTCCATCTGGAACCCGCTTACAGTGTTCCCATGCGCTAGAGCCTGCCGGTCAGGAACTCTGGGACAGGCGTTTTCTGCTGTGACTCCCAATGTTTTGAGTCCTGATTTTCCTCCATGGCCACAGCTGAGAGCCTCTCAGCAGTCCATTGTGGGTAACACATGGACTCACTGGTGGCATGTGACATTTGGCTCACTGCTTCCTCCGTGTTGGGACTGGAGCCTCAGCCACCCATCCCCCACTCAGCATAGACACACTGTGCTTCTGATGCCGCCTCAACACTCTGGGGGATTGTGTTTGTTTTCCTGAAGCATGACGAAAAGCAAACAAACCCAGGCGAACGCCCCAAAGGAAGATAGGCAAATGATTTGACAATTTAAAACAAACACCTAATTAGGTAATAGGCATACAAATAATATTTTTTATTATTAAGAAGAAGTTACACGTCTTGACTTTTTAGTAAGTTAAGAAATGTAAATTCAGGCAATGAGATACTTTATTTTGCCTCTTCACCCGACAAAGATGGGAAACGAAAAGGGAAATATTCAGTGTCTGTGAGGGTTTAGGGTGAAGGATTGGGTAATAGTGCATTTCATGTTCTCTCAGCAATAGGGCAATGGGGTAATTGGAGATTTATAGGAATGAACTTAGCCATACAATGAAAAAGACCTCACCATGTGCCTATCCTTTGAAATCTTGAACACAGGGTTTCCATCTTCTTACATCCGTGGGTTGCTGATGCAAACAGTGATGTCAGCCTCATTCCTGACTTTTGTCCCCTTCTGAAGCGTTTCTTGTTCTCAGTGATGTTCTGAAATTTCACCAAGATCTATCTAGGTTAGTTTTCTTTTTGTTTATCCTGCCAAGTACTTGGTAGGCTATTTTGGTTTCACATTGTTCTTCTGTTCTGAGAAATACTTAAGCCAGATCATTTGCTGGAATGACTCACAGAACCCAGGGCCACGTTACTTATACTTACAGTAGAGGACAATGTAAAGGGTACAGATGGAAAGACAGATGAAGAGGTACTTGAGGCGAGTCCCCCATGCAGGAGCATCTGCCCCCCTGGGGTTGAGGTGCGCCATCCTCCTGGCACCTGGGGGTGCTTTTATCAACCTTAAAGCTTCCCTAACATCATCATGTAGGAGATTTTATGGGGGGTTGATCATTAGGTGTGATCAATTATTAACTCAACCTCTAGCTCCTCTTCCTCTCCCGAGAGGTGGGGGGGTGAGACTGAAAGTTCCAAGCTCCTGATCAAGGTTAAGTCTTTCTAGCAATCAGCTCTCATCCTGAGGCTGTAGGGATGGAGGGCATGTGTTGCCTCATTAGAACAAATTTGCCTATTTTTAAATATATATATTTTATTGATTTTTTTACAGAGTTGAAGAGAGAGGGATAGAGAGCTAGAAACATCAATGAGAGAGAAAATCATCGATCAGCTGCCTCCTACACACCCCACACTGGGGATGTGCCCGCAACCAAGGTACATGCCCTTTACTGGAATCGAACCGGAGACCCTTCAGTCCGCAGGCCGACGCTCTATCCACTCAGCCAAACGGGTTTCGGCCAAATTTGCCTATTGCTCCCAAAGTTCCAAGGATTCTAGGAGCCAGGAGCAAAGACAGCGGTCATCACCAAAGGTGCTCTATCATTCTATCACTTGGGAAATGACAAGGGTTTTAGGCGTTCTGTGCCAAGAAGTAGGGATGAAGACCAAATACATATTTCTTATTATGTCACATGGACCGCTCCATCCCTGCTGACTGGCCTCAGCTGGTGCAGGAGTAGAGGGGACAACACACCTGGCTGCTCCTGGCCTTCCTATCACATAGACCCTGCTCACTTCCGGTCTCCCTCTCCCACTCTCCCTCGTGCTGTATGCTGCTCTTTATCCGTAAAGTCCTCCCTCTAGTCCTCCTCTTGTGTTTCAGGGAGGCTGTGTACGTACACGTATTCTATCGTTTCGTGGCATTTGTTATGGGAATTACGTAAAAAGCTGTATAACCTTCGAACCAGTAATCCGCTTCTAGGAATCCATCCTGAGGATGTAATTTAAAATAAAGATTTAACTACCAAGAGTTTCATCAGAGTACCATTTATTTTGAGAACATATATTCAACTAGAAAGGATTAGTAAACTACATGGTGACATATTCCCATAACAGCAGACGGTGCAAAAAGCAACATGACAATATTTAACGGCACGGGGAAATGCCATTGATGTGTTAAGTAAAATTATCAGGTTATGAACTTATTTTTAAACATCTCATCTTTGTAAAACAAAACAACGACACACATGTTCTTATCGAAAAGAGTTACTTGGCATGGTGGGATTTCTGGTGACTCTTCCTTCTTTTTGGCTGAAAGTTTTCCACGCTCTTGGGACTTGTTTGTGGCAAGACTCTAGTGCCATGCCCTGTCTCCCTCCCCCAGGTGTGCTGGAAGATGGACCGTCCTCCAATGGCGTGCCCCGGTCTACAGCCCCAGCTGGAATATCCAACCCAGAGAAGACGACGAGCTGTGGGACCCAATGCTCCAATCCTCAGAGCCTCGGCGCAGGCGCTTTGACCCAGAAACACAACAGCCTTCGGACCACAGAGGTAGGTAGGTCCCAGCCACACACCAACTTGGGCCTGGGGAGAAGAAGAGACTGTGCCCTTGGGAAAAAAAAACAAAAAACAGCGAAGGTTCACCTTGCTAATGAGAATTCTCTGCCTCACCCGTGTGAACATTGCTGCAAACAAAATAGCAAGACGCAATACCTACCCCACCCCCTGCCTTGAGGGTTGCTAGGTTTAGTTGAATCAGCTGAAATGGGTCCTTGAGGTCGGCACTCTAACGGAGGTGTGTTTGCTTAAAGACAGCTTTGTTCAAGGATCGCCTTTCCCGTGTCAGGTCTCATCATCTTGATCTTGAGGACTGTGCTGGCTGTAGCAACCATTCTTAGGCCAGGCAGTCAGCCAGTCTTAGGGGTTGGCAGCATGGGGAGTAGATAGGGAAGGAGAGAGAGGACCAGGCGGGCTGTGCGAAGCCCCTAGGGGGAGGGACTCCTGCCACAGAATGTTGCTGGTGGGAAGGAAGTAGGACTGTGGGGTCCCTGGCCTCGCTGGCATCCTTGCTGACCCTTGCTTCCTCTCTGAGCTCTGGTTGGGAAATGCTCCTCCCATGGGAACGAATGTCCTTGGAAGGCCAGCCCAGACTCAGCAGCCTCTTCCTCCTTCCACTCTCTGTCTCCCTCCTGCTTCCTCATCTTTCCCATTTCCCACCTCCATTCAAAGTCCACTGCTCACTGTATGCTCCACACTCATTTTCCCCCTCTCCCCTGTTATAACTTACTGGTCCTGTCCTCTCAGGCCAAGGCCCTCTGCTTTCTGAGGCACAACTGGTCATCTAATGATGGAATTCCTGCTCACATCAGTACACTACCTCTCTAAGCTTTGGTCAAAAGACCTGTTGCAACTTCAGCTCTAGTACTCAGTAAGGAAGTAGCTTTGCAGGAATCACTTAATCTCGCAGAGTCTCAGGTTCCTTAGCCACACAGTGGAAATAATGCCAAAATGAGAGAGCAGATGGGCCTGCTCTTTGTAAACTGAGAAGCACTATAAGAAAGGCAGGATGGGTGAACAGGGATGGTTGAGGCACACAGTGCCATAACCCAATTATTATTATTTTTTAAATATATTTTCATTGATCTCAGAGAGGAAGGGAGAGGGAGGGAGGGAGGAAGAGAGAGAGGAAGAGAGAGAAAGAAATATCAGTGATGAGAGAGAATCATCCATCTGCTGCCTCCTGCAGACCCACACTGGAGATTGAGCCTGCAACTCAGGCATGTGCCCCAACCAGGAATCAATCCATGATCTCCATATGGTCCATAGGTCCATGCTCAACCACTGAGCAATGCTGGCTGGGCCCATAACCCAACTATACAAAACTGATGGTGGCCATTCAGATACAGTAGACGGTAATGGGTAGGGAGAAGATTTAAGGATCACAATGGCCCTTCCTGGGGTTCCGGGTGCCTACTTTGCCTGTGCATCAGCTGGCCTTCTAGAAGCCTAACCATCAGTGCTGTCTCCCAAGGCAGACTGGGCCCCACAGAACTACACTTAGAAGCTCCAGGATGGGCCCTGCCACCTGCCCCAAAGCCTAGCCCCCTCCCCACACTTGTGCGCTTTCCCTCTGAGCCAGGATGTGTGTGGTAGGGAGGAAGCCGCTGTGCCTGGTGCGTGACGTGGCGCACACATTTGCTTTCTCACCTCCCTGCCTGCCCATCATCCATCACTGTAACATTGTGTTCTGAGGTTTACAGAGCGCTTTTGGATCTCCTGGTTCGGTAAATCTTCCCAAGAGCATTTTGTAAAGTAAGTGTCATCCTCATTTGATAGACAAGGAAACCGGGCTGCATTTAGTAATTGTCTGACCGGAATTGGCTGTGTAAGTGCTGGAGGTGGGCGCCGGTGACTTTGAATTGAAACAGGCGACGATTAGAATGGGGGCGGGAATGGGGAGCATAGAGATCTGAAAGTACTTTTTTTGCTGAAGAAGAATGTGTATTAGTCAGTTATGGTCGTGATAATGCTGCATGACAAAGCCCTTCGACAGCCATGGGCTTAAAATAGCAATCCTTTTACTCCTCATAGTCAGTGGCAACCCGACCGGACTCCAGGCCTCACTGAACCTTGTGTATTGTTCTTGGAATCGGGCCAAAAGAGCAGCAGCATTCTGAGGTATATTCTCCTCAAGACTCTGACTGCGTGGGGGCTCAGGGAAGGCTGCCCCAAAATATGCCACTTCGGCATATTGATTCTTTTTATTTATTTATTTTTATTATCGATTTCAGAGAGGAAGGGACAGATAGAAACATCAATGATGAGAGAGAATCATTGATTGGCTGCCTCCTGCATGCCCCCTATTGGGGATCGAGCCCACAACCTGGGCATGTGCCCTTGGCCAGAATCGAAACCTGGGACCCTTTAGTCCTCAGGCTGATGCTCTATCCACGGAGCCAAACCACTAGGGCTATATTGATTATTTTTGATTAAAGTTACTTAAGAAACAGATGGTGCAAAAAGAGCACGCTGACTGTCCTTGGTCTCTGAAAGCAGGAAATAAATCTCGTGTGTGAAAGGTGCCCTCCCCACCGGGAGGCAGGGAGACTGCTCATCGCCGAGATAGGGAAACTCCAGGCTACGAGGGCTGTGTAAACAGCGTTGCTTAGATCTTCACTAATTGAGCACCCAAGCTTAGTCTTGTCAGTTCTTCATGAATTTATGGTTTCTTTGTCTAAAAAAAGTATAAAAGCTGCCTGCTTTGGTCATTTCTTCAGGTTGCATATCTGTGAGATCCCAGTAGATATGAACTTGATTTTCTCCTGTCAATCTGTCTCATGTTTATTTAATTCTTAAACCAGCCAGAAGAACCTGGAAGGTAGAAATAGAAAATATTTTCCTCCCTGACAGCAAAAACCCAAGAGGGCGAAATCAAACTGTTCAAACACGTTTATGTCTCTGCTCACATCCTATCAACCAACCTCCTGTTGGCCAAAGCACAACACAAGGACAAGCTCTACAGCCATAGAGCAAGGACATATACTCTGTCCCTGGTGGAAAGACAGGAGCAATAATACAACCTACCACATATAACATACATACAGAGAAAACCACAAGTCACAGTTCAATGAATTAAAAAAACAAAACGTTTTTATTTATTTTAGAGAGGAAAGGAGGGAGGGAAGAAAGGAGGGAGGGAGGGAGGGAGAGAGAAGCATCAATGGTGAGAGATAATCATTGATTGTCTGCCTCCTGCACGCTCCCTACTGGAGATCAAACCCTCAACCCAGGCATGTGCCCTTGATGGGAATCAAACCTGGGACCCTTCAGTCCTTAAGCCAATGCTCTATCCATTGAGCCAAACCAGCCAGGGCTCAGTGGATTTTGTAAGGTGACACAGCCATGTAACCATCTTCCATATGAAGATATTATCACTACCCCAGAAATCCTCCGATGCCCTTCCCCAGTCACCACCGCCCCCTCCCCCCAACATAACCACTTTCCAGCACTGTACTCCAGTTTTGTTTATTTTCAAGATTTTTATAAAGGAACTTATACAACATGTGCTCTTTTGCCCGATATTAATGCCAGTGGGAATTATCCATGTTGTTGCGAGTGGCAACATTTCCTCGTTTTCATATGTATATTTCATTCTACTGGAAGGACATTTGGGTTGTTTTCAGTTGGGGCTATTATGAACAATACAGCTATTACTATCTTGTTGTTGTTTATGTGTGTGTGTTTTAAAGGTTAAACCTTTTAAAAATTGGGATTTATTGGGGTAACATTGGTTAATACCATTATGTAAGTTTCGGGTGTACAACTTTATAATACAGCTCTCTACTCCATTATGCTCTCTGCCCCAATCCCAGTCTCCTTCCCTCCCCATACATTTGACTCCCCTTTACCCTCTTCATCCTCTCCATACCCCTTTCCCCTCTGTAATCACCATTCTGTTGTCCATATCTATGAGTTTGTTTGTTGGTTCATTGCTGCTTTCTGTTTTACATACCACGTCTGAGTGAAATCATACTGTTCTTGTCTTCTTCCATCCGACTTATTTCACTTAGTATGTTACTCTCAGGATCTACCCATGTTATCAGAAATGGCAACGTTTCATTGCTTTTATGGCTGAGGAGGCTTCCCTTGTACATACCACATCCTATGTGGAAGGACGCCTAGGTTGTTTCCATGTAACATTCTTGTGCATGCCCTTCTGTGGACATACACTTCTTTGGGGTACATACGTGGAGTGACGTGGCTGGCTCCGTAGGACGGGGATATATGCAACTTTGACAGACACTAACAGACAGTCTTCCAAAGTGGTTACACCAGCTGACACGCTCAGCAGCGGCATATGAATTCTGATTATGGAATATAAGAGTTTAAAGCCAGCCCTGACCAGTTTGGCTCAGTGGATAGAGCATCGGCCTTCAGACTCAAGGGTCCCAGGTTCGATTCCGGTCAAGGGCATGTACCTCGGTTTCGGGCACATCCCCAGTAGTGGATGTGCAGTAGGCAACTGATCGATGTTTCTCTCTCATTGATGTTTCTAACTCTCTATGCCTCTCCCTTCCTCTGTAAAAAATCAATAAAATATATATTTTTTAAAAATTTAAAGCCAGTTAGTTGTGCTTAGTCCTTCTAGACGTAGCGTAGGCTGCTATGACATTGAGATATTATCTCACTACAGTGACTCTGAAATGTCGATATTGTTGTCTCCCGTCCACAAATGGGAATGGCGACCACGAGGTAGCTGGGGAGAGCACGTTCCCAGTCTACACTCACGTGCACTCTGGGGTCTCCTGTTGTTATAAAGTCTGGCCCAGCGGAGCCAGGTCCAGGGACCACAGCAGCGGCAGCGGAAACTGTGGCCGGGGCAGTGAGGACCACACACACAAAGCACCAGAGGGCAGATGGCTCAGACTGATAAGCCAGCCAGGCTGCTTTTGTGTTCACAGTTCAGTGAACAATGGCTGCATTGAACTATTTCCAAGCTAAGATCGGGGAGCAGATAACTTCAGTTGTAAATGCTGCTCAATGCATCAGCG